TTATTATATATCAAGTGTCAAAGTTCACTTTTCCTAGTATCTTATTGGTCGAGAGTGTACCACGTGAAAGTCACAAAATTTTACTGTTTCCCGGCAACTGTCCACCAGCGGTCAATAATATGTTGTGGACCGTCAATAAGTACAAAGTCGCAGAAAAACAATCTTCAGTGTCGTGAAAATGTCACATTTACGGACGTTGCAATTCCAAAATTGTTATGAAACATTTAATTTCGACTACAAATAGTTAAATTAGTATTCATTGTGTTATTACATTGATTGATTTTAGTGACTATTTGTATTGCCATTTTTCAGTTATTTTATCAAAATCTTTAATAAAAACAATTCATTTATTTACTTTTTTTGCTCTCTTTGACACTTGATATGATAATAAAGCACTTATTTACTGGAACCGAGGGAAACAGCATGTTTTGTGGTCCCGAGACCGCTGATGTTTCCCGAAGCGATAAGTGTTAAATGTAGTACTTCTGCAATGACTAATCTTTTACCTGTATTTTTGACGTCGTCTTGTGGCCTTCGATTGTTGCTCCATGATGTTTCCAATATATACTACAGTGCATCATATAATYACAAAACGAAAAGAATAATTACATAAATAAAATCATATAACAAACTTTGACACGGCTTAAAAACGATCAGAACAATTACTGATATGAAGTCTCACCTGTTGAAAAACTAAAGACCCCTTGAATCAGCATTGCCTTTTTCCAGCCTTAAATCCCGAGTAATTTCGCTCCTCCCACAAGGAAGTAAATTACTTGATCACGATTGGATGACGATTTGAGCATGCCACATTTAATTTCTTTGGTATTCCACATATGTGATCTATCATGTAGAGTTAAGTGTTTGACCTTGTTTCAGCTCTTCGAGAATAATGGAATGTGAACGCGAAGTGTGGACTTAGTGTAAATTGACAGCTTGATGCTTATTCTTATTCTTCAGCCTCCTGACCTCTTCCATAGCCGGCAGAGGTATTTCGTCAAAAAGGAGTGTGGTTACTGATGTAGTGTTTGTTATTTCTTTGACCAACAGTAAAATGCTGTCGTCTAATTCATTAATTCTATTTATACCACCCTCTCATTCTATCAAAAAAAATCATGACATGACCGTTACGGTATCGATTTTTTGATTATTTATATAGCCACATATTAATCCCAAATAGGTAAAAGCTGGATTTTTCGTTAATTTTGGAATCCAGTCCTGTCCAATTAAGAAATTAATTGGACAGGTTTTCAATTGGGTTTTTGTTAAAAGCTGTGGTTGGCTTTTACCTATTTGGGATCAATATGTGGCTATATAATTAATAGGTAATAAGACTCCATGCTGTCCAATTAAGAAATAGTTAGACTCGAAAAATTCCTCTGACTGCCAAATTGGACTCGGCCACGGCCTCGTCCAATTTTTGGCAGTCCTCGGAATTTTCCTCGTCCAATTATTTCTTAATTGGACAGCATGGAGTCCTATTACATATAAAAATTTACTTGCTATTTGCGGCAAGCGGGTAATCTTCGAGTTACGCTCTTCGAGTTGCGCGCTAGGTCATTCCTAGGGCGTAACTCGGTGCAACTAAAATAGCTTAGTATATCTTCGAGTTAGCTTATGAGTAAAATGCACATTGTTGACGATGACGTTCGCGTTTTGTCACAAAAACCTATGCGATCTATGTATTCTTGGATTGAAGCTAAATCTCTTCATCGTAAACATACCGAAAAATAAAAACAGAATTCAGGTCACGCCATTTCTTTACAAAGTCACGCTAATGTTTTTATTTCTAAAATGGGAAGTATGTCCATCTTTTAGATTCTCAGATTAATGTGAATATCAAATTTATATAGTCTGTAAAATATCATATTGAGAATATGATGGTTTTTGAAAAGATTACACAGATTTCTCTCAAGCCTCATCCCTAAAAATAGGAGTCAAAAAGATAGACATACTAACAGAATAACATTCAAGATATTCCTCGGTCTATTTGAAATAATGATCCAAGTTAAAAAAAGAGCCGTTTTCAAGTTTGCCTCGAGTTTGTTGAATAATACAACAGTACGGGACTGTCGAGTTACATGCTGGAACACCGAGATAACGTGGTCGTGGTATACTAGTARCGCATACTCGAAATGCCCGTAACTCGAAGATTACCCGATTTGGAACTTTTTTACTAGCTATGTTACTAGGGTAGCGTGCAAAAATGCATGGATCGCGGAAGCAACTGTCACGATTTGATAAGTTGAAAAGGATTGACAAGTTTTATAAAAGCCATCAGGAGCTATCAAAACTTGACCTCATTTGGTATTGGAGAGAAGCTCTCCTGCGCAGTCGAAGTTGTTTGACAGCGATTGGACGAAGAATGACAATGTAGTCACGCGAGCTAGCTRGTAGTGACGTCTTGGTCAACGCGATGCAGAAACCAACAGAAAACACAATGAATTCGGTTTGTCGCGAGCATTAACGTACGGTAAGACATTTACAAATATACYTGTCTTTACGTATCAACTCCTAAACCTTCTCTTTATGTCTTTGTCGAAAAAACAGACTTTGAAAAGCAAACTGAACCACTAYTTTTCCGTTTACAACAAATGCCGTTTTCTCGTTTTGCTAGGATCTCGAACTTGAMTTAGGTTATGAATTTCTCTTTGTGCTAATACCTATCCTGTTATGATTAGAAAAAATGAATAGAAATAGATGAATGCACTGAAAAACGTCTTGTATACATTCGACAGAAGGTTTTCTCTTGAGATCCAAGTATGTTCAACTGAGCGCTCTGAACTAAACTTTGTTGGACATCTATAAAAATAATTGTCGCAAAAGAAAAGAGCATATTCATGTGAAGTTTTTACTAGGTTTAGAAGGGAAAATGCCAAGAGAAACTTTTGATATAATCAACTTTAGTATGCCTGGTTATTTGAGAAAGCCATTCGTTTTAGGCTAGAGCACTAGAGCTCCACATTATTTTACGACATATTGAAACATATGTTGAAATATTACGGCCAAAAGTGCATCTCGCTTTGATTTCATTGTCATTAAAACATACTGGACCACTACTGGATCACTACAAATGCAAGCAGTAAAGTAAAGATTGACGTATCAAATTTGACCCTGGCCTAATGATAATAATACAATACATATTCTGATCGTTTACATGGGAAACATTTCAATGTACCTCTTTTTCAGTAAAAGCATAATGTCAGCGGAACAGAGTCCCCGAAGTTCTCAACGCGCCATGGATACCATTGAAAACCAACCAAACAACAAGTATTTGAAAAAAAAAATTATTTGTTTGTTTTTGTTTTAAGTGACTTTACAGAAGACCCTGTGTGCACATGCTTGTGGTTTATATATCCCTAAAGCATGGCCCGCAAGGTCTTGTTGTCATTGGGTGTCAATCCTCAAGGATAATGAAAATTGAAAAAACCCACAAAAATGACTCGGTATTGTCGACGCGATTTCCCCTGAAACTTTACTTCGTTTCTTTAGTGGATAAGAAAGTTTCACCGTGAGAAATGATATGAAGTTAAGGATATAAGCGCATGTGCACACGGCAAATTGTCAGCGATTTAATTCTCTTTTTCTATCATTGAAACAGAAGAGAGAATGTTGGGACATCTCCAGTCTRTTATGCTTGGTTGAAAATTTGCAATTTCTTTCATTCAAAAATGGAAAAGATGTTTGCAATATCAGGTACTAAAATAGCAACGCACCCTAAGCTAGTAATCTTGGTTGGATTTACAGTTGTTGGCTGTCTATCGATTGGATTCGTTTGGTTCAAAATGGAGAAGCGAACTGTAAAACTCTTTATACCCCAAGACAGTCAAGCAATGAAAGACTTGGGAAAAGCTGAAGAGAATTTTCGTCTTCAGTTGCGCAGTGAAACAATCATAATCGTCGCGAAGGGCGACAAACAAGTGTTATCAACGCAATGTTTTAATGACGTTCTTCAAATTCACAATGCTGTCACACGTTTGCCTCTTTACACTAAATTATGTGCCAAGATTACAAAGAACAGCTCGAACCCATGCATGTTTCTAAATCCTTTGGAGCTTTTTAACTTTGAGAATAAAAATATTTTAAATGTTAGTGCGAGAGTTAAAGAGAAAACATCGTGTCCTTCGTCCTTTATAATGAGTAATGGACGCACTTCTTGCCAAAACGTCAATCTTATGTTTGGGACAGAGCAACATCGTGTGAACGACGTTTCACAGGTAAAAGCTTTAAGGTTGGTATATTATTTACAAGAAACCAACAGTGATAGCGACTACTCCAAAGTTATTTCGTGGGAAGCTGACTTTATGAATACTTTGAAGTCCCTACAAAAGAACATGACTTGCTCCAATATATTATTGGCAACTGAACGAAGTTTGGACGACGCAATCGATGATAGTAGCGGTTCTGATATCAGGTGTGTAGCTGAACAATCTCGTACCTAGAGCCCGCAATTTTGTCCCGCTGGCATTAGCCGTGAAGACTCTGGGCTCGAGATTGGTAGAGAATTACACAATATATTATCAAAAACTTTTTAATGAATACATATTTTTTCCTTCGGCTTCAGTAGCGAGCTAGAATTAATTGCGAATTCGCAACATAGCAGAAACGGAAAGCTTAAGCCCCTCAGGATATTTTCAAACAGTGTTTCCAGCAATTTTGAAACGTATTTGATAATTTGGTAGCAGGTGGTTTTGAAAGCTTTTTAGGAATGATTCAATGTCTATGTCAGTTCTGAAACACTGTAGGCGATTTTCTACATGAGTATTCATTTTGTCTTCTTTACTAATTCAACAGGTATTTTGCTCTGACGTTTACAGTCATGATTAACTTTGCCAGTTTTATGTTGGGCAAGATATTCAGAAATCCACTGACCGGTCATTCGCTGCTTGGCACGGGCGGGGTTATATGCGTTGGTCTCGGTATAGCTGCAGGCTTTGGTCTCTCTATGATGTCTCAGACACCTTTCGTCAAGATTGTTGGAGTCTTGCCATTCCTAGTAGTAGGGGTTGCCATTGACGACATGTTCATTATAACTGATGAGCTTGATCGACAGTCGAAAGACAAAAGCGTAATTAACACGGTGTCATACGTCATGCAACATACTGGACCTAGTATAACCATGACAACTGTCACGGACTTAGTTGCCTTTGCGGTTAGCACTACGTCAGAATTCCCTTCCATCCAATACTTCTGCATATATGCAGCGCTGACCATAACATTTGCTTACTTACTTATTGTAACTGTATTCGTAGCATTGGTGACTTTCGACGTGAAGAGAATAAAAGCTAACCGTCGAAATTGTCTCCCGATTTGTTTTGCACCGGAGCCCAAAGAAGGACAGCCACCATGGGATGAGCCAAAGCAAGCTGTCTCAAGCAGGATCATGGAGCAATGGGGCAAAACACTCACAACTCCCTTGGGTAAGGTAATCGTGGTTGTTCTTTCTCTTGGACTTTTAGGAGCTGGTATTTACGGAACACTTCAAACTAGTGAAAGCTTCAACAGATCCCTGCTGGTGCGTGATGGGAATCCATACAAAGATTTCATCAAGACACAAAATAAATACTTTGATGATGCAATTGAATTTAGTGTTGTAATTGACAAATCACTGGACTATAGTACTAAAGAGACGCAAACTGCAGTTCAGAAACTTGGAGATATCATACGATCAAATAATTACTGCAAAAACCAAACTAGAATATGGGTCGACGAGTTCAAATCTTACTGTCATAGAAAGCATTTAGTCGCAGAACGGTCCTCCTTTATGCAAAACATGAGAAAGTTTCTTGATGATCCATTTTACAGTCATTTTGCCAGAGATGTTAAACTCTCGCCTGATAAGAGGCGCATTGTGGCCTCTAGAGTCATTGGATACATACAAGGTTATTATCTTAATCGTCAAAAGAGCTTTTAAATATACTAGCATAAGGTTTTTTATAAACCTGTGAAAACCTCCCGGCTGAATACACTTATATACATAAACTGATATTATTACATTTTGTCTTCTAGTGTCTATACATATTCTGATTTGTACACTTTGTTTCACGGTTATTAAAACCATTCTCGCGACAAGATTAATTTGATGTTAATGTCCCTAATCAATAGATTTGGATGAAATTATGATTGAGGACATCAGCCATGAAACAGAATGTGCTGTCAAGATGTAATAGAGTCAAATAAACACAAGCGCATTGGTTGGATTTCTATTTCTCGGATTTTGTGTCTTCACTCTATCATGAATTAAGGTTGCAAATTATGCTTTCACAAGTTTTATTGTAATACATCATCTTTTTTCATGTCAAGGTTCTGATTCTCCAGTGTTCCAGAGAGATGCTATGTTATCACTTCGCAAAGACTTGTCTAGTAAATCAACTATTCCAGTTTATCCCATTGCCAGATCGTTCATTTTCCTCGAACAGTACGCCATAATTGTGAAAGAGACGATCAAGAACCTGTCAATTGCATCAGCAGTTATTCTCATCATAACTGGCCCTTTCTTGGTTGATTTCATAGCYACATTTTTAGTGTTCTTCAGTTTTGCGTCGCTAATTTTCGAGTTATTTGGGCTGATGGTCATATGGGGCGTATCTCTGAATTCAATCTCTATGATTAATCTAGTCATGGCTATTGGATTTTCTGTCGACTACAGCGCACATATTGCACTTGCGTTCTTGAAATCCAGAGAGTCAACACCCGAGGAGAAAGTCGTGGATTCTTTAAAAAGTGTTGGAGCCAGTGTACTCCTAGGAGGTACATAAATATGCTAACTTCTTTAAAACGTAGTATTATGTTCTAACCGCATTGCCCTTACAGCCCCACCCTACCCTACCTCGGGTCCCAGTGGGAGCTTGCATTTAATCGGTTCTAGACCCCACATTTGATGGGCCCTTAAGTTGTTGTTCTTTTGTACACCAAAGTTCACTAAAACATTTAATTTTAGGTTTCAGCACTCTCCTTGGAATTTCCCTGACATCTCTGTCCAATTCGGAAATCTTTCGTATATTTTTCAAGATGTTTTTTGGAATAGTTATGCTGGGCTTGTTACATGGCTTGGTCTTCCTACCCGTCTATCTCGCTATCTTTGGTAAATGGAGCACATTCCTACAAATAACTGCAGCAACAGAGACTCGTGTTGATGATGTAGATAGTAGAGCAGATAATGTCAATCTTGGAAGTGATAGTGATATTCACGAGGTCGACAACTCGAAATATGAAAATCCCGCTTACAGGGATGATGGTATTCTCGAGGACAAACTTGACGTGGAATGGAAAAATGCAACTCCAGATACAGAACAAAATCCGAATGTCAAAGTCACAACGTCCACAACTAGATTCTGATAAGGTTACTGATCAATGAATTTTATTTCACAGAGTGTATTCAAGTAAATGTGTGAAATTTCCATAAATCCGCGAACAAACACTAGWTAGTTGTACCGTTTAGGGTCGTTTATAGTAAAAGAATTTAGAAAGGGTGGATGCTTTGGTTCGTAGACATAGCGTGAACTTGAAAATTGTAATCAGCCGGCTAAACTATAAGACATCCCAAGAAAGACAAGAAAATAAACATTTAATTCAGTCATTTATTTGGTTTTCTATAAAATCACTTTCAGTGTAAATGAAATATTTTTGACAAGAATACACTATTTCAGTGAAAAATTTACAATTTTAATGGGTGTTAATCTAAAGGAATACAAAAATACCCACCCCTCCCTTCCTAAGTAAATTCACAGTATTATTCAATATTCTGAAATATCTATAATTGAGATAACGCAACAAGAATGAAATATATTTCTGTGTTAAAGTGATACTTGGACGAAATTGTAGCCAATGTCTGATTTCAAAAACATTTCGTGACATGTTGATTTTCTTTTTTTTTTAGTAACAGTTTTTAAAATTAAATGC